GATAAATTTGTGTTCCCTGCCTCGGTCATTGAGGCCGTATCTGCATTGTCTGTCGCTCGTGTCTCAGTTTTCCCCAGGTCCCGGTCTCTGCCATGGCTTTCTGATCCGTCTGCTCCTCCCTGGTGGGCTTCTGCTCCGTCTGCTCCGCCCTGGAGGTCTTCTGCTCCACCCTGGTGGGCTTCTGCTCTGTCTGCTCCGGCCTGGTGGTCTTCTGCTTCGTCTGCTCCGGCCTGGTGGTCTTCTGCTCTGCCCTGGTTGGCTCCAGTCCCATCTGCTCCGCCCTGGTGGGCTTCAGTTCCGTCTGCTTCGTCCTGGTGGGCTCCAGTTCCGTCTGCTCCGCCCTGGCGGGCTCCAGTTCCGTCTGCTCCATCCTGGTGGACACCTGTTCTGTCGGCTCCGCCCTGGTGGGTTTCTGCTCTGCCGGCTCTGCCGCAGTCCCTGGCGCCTGACCCTCGCCTGTTTTGACCACGCCCTTAATAAAGCTTGCAAATGGATCCGTACGTCTCACGTCTTGTTTGCCCCGTAACGGGTACATTATAACATCATTAGGCCTGCCGTTATTATTTCTGAAAATGCAACTTATACGAGACGTATCTTTTTTTTATTTTCCTCAAAAAAAAATATAATTTTTTTTTGTGTTTTTAAAAGCATGCAGCAAACGAAAATATTCGATTAATCTGTTAAAATTTGTTACTGTGGGTTAACAAATTTACATTATTAGGCTATTCTTATGCTTGGCTTCACAGATAGCAACAGAGTCTGGGCCAAATCTGGTTTACATTCACTTCTGGCTTTTTTGTCTTGTTATTGTGTTTTTAAAAGCATGCAGCAAACGAAAATATGCGATTAATCTGTTAAAATTTGTTACTGTGGGTTAACAAATTTACATTAGTAGGCTATTCTTATGCTTGGCTTCACAGATAGCAACAGAGTCTGGGCCAAATCTGGTTTACATTCACTTCTGGCTTTTTTCAGTCTTGATTGCAAATGTTTTTTGTTTTTATGTACGATGGATAATTAAAAGAAAAATCAGGCATGTGTATTTATAACATCAATTACTAGGCCTACATTATTTTTTTCAGAAATGGAAGTAACTTAAAATGTTATTGTGTGTTTGTAATTTTAATATTTTTATCTATAGGCCTATACAGCAAAACTACAGAGCTTCCAGTAGGTTATTTTACGGAGCTGTAAACACGGAAATCTCCGACAGCATGCAATCTTTGACGAACACCCAATTCATATATCAAACTAGGCTTGAATAATGTTACTTTGCTGTTAACAAGTGAAAACATCTTAAAATATCGCAGTTTTGCATAAAACAGAAATAATATACTAACCTTTTGTCGAGTTAACGGTGCATTTCTCTTTTGTCCTTTTATGGCCACTTCCACCAAACATTCAAAAAAGAACTCCCTTGCCATTGGTCAGTTTTTCGTGGGCAAGTTCACTACTGTAAATCAATTTACAGTAGTGAGGAAATACAGTAGTGGCTGTATATTTTCCCATAATCCTTTGCGGTTTACAGTAAAATACTGTATACACATTTTACAGTATCTTACTATACATATTACAGTATAATACTGTTCAAATTACAAAGATCGGTTACAGTGCTGTTGTACCCCAAAAGGTGCAATTTTGGCCACTTATTTCCTGTATATAGCCTGTACATCCACAACAATTTTTGAAACCAGACAACCCTATTATTTGTATGGCCATCACATAAAAAAAGGTCTAAATCCTTAGTCTGGGGCCGTGGAAAATAATTAAAGGTTCACTCTTGCACTGCACCTTCACTTCCCTTTCCTTCATTTTTCCCCAATAGCTCTGTCCCCCCCACCCCCTTTTTTTCATACCTGTCACTTCTTCACCAGCAGGTCTACTGTTATGAACAGAACTGTGTCCACCTTGTTGAAAACAACCACCTCATTTCAATTTGTTAGCAAAGAATGTTATTTATCTTCAAATGACTTAAATACCCTAGATTTAATAAACCTATATTTCATACAAATATACACTACCAGTCAAGTTTTCGAACAGTAAGATTTTTTATGTTTTTTAAAGAAGTCTCTTCTGCTCACCAAGCCTGCATTTATTTGATACAAAGTACAGCGAGAGCAGCAATATTGTGAAATATTTTACTATTAAATATAACTGCTTTCGATTGGAAGATATATTTAAAATGTAATTTATTCCTGTGATCAAAAAGCTGAATTTTCAGCATCATTACTCCAGTCTTCAGTGTCACATGATCCTTCAGAAATCATTCTAATATGCTGATTTGCCGCTCAAGAAACATATTTGAGCTGAATTTTCATTATAGAAATGATTAATTTTATTTAGCAAGGATGCTTTAAATTGATCAAAAGTGATTATAAAGATATTTATAATTTTACACAAGATTTCTATTTCAGATAAATGCTGTTTTTCTGAACTTTCTATTCATCAAAGAAACCTGAAAAAAATCAAATCGGTTTTCAACATAATAATAATAATAATAATACATGTTTTTTGAGCAGCAAATCAGAATATTAGAATGATATCTGAAGGATCATGTGACACTGAAGACTGGAGTAATGATGCTAAAAATTCAGCTTTGCATCACAGGAATAAATTACATTTTAATAAAAATATTTCAAAAATATTTTTTTGCTGTATTTTGGATCAAATAAATCAAGGCTTGGTGAGCAGAAGAAACTTCTTTAAAAAACATTAAAAATCTTACTGATCAAAACCTTTTGACTGGTAGTGTATTAACACACAATTTCTAAAGTGTCTAAATGTCAAAATTAGTACAATATATTTGTTGAAAAAGTCTAATACACTATTTAATTATTAGGCTGTGAGCACGTTACTCATATTATTTTTGTGTTGCTGTCTGCTCTAGCTCCCTTCCTCCCTGTACAATAAATCCATGTGAATATCTGTCTCTGCTAATTTTTTTAATGTAACTTTTTGTTGTAATATTGATGTCCTTTAGCACAGTATTCTGAATGATGATAATAATGGAGTGCTACTGATAGCCTAACAGATACTAGCAGTTTAATACTCAACTACGTTAATAAAACAAAACTATCTAGCATATTTACAGATGAAGCTGACCTGCACTTGGAAGCCCTGAACAGGTCAGTGATGTTGCTACATTTCACTGCTGTTTCTGGCCGCTTCCTCTCTTTCATCGAGTCACGCCGTATCGGTTCTTTTCGGAATAGTGATGGGAAGTTCGGATCATTTTACCGACTCGGACCTTTGAGTCTCGTTAAGCAAAATTAACGAATATTTTTTCGAGTCATTTCGTTCATTTTAGCAAAATATAATTAAAATGTTACGTGTTACTTCCCTAATATGTCTACTACTTACGCAAACGTTGATCACACTACAAACTATACAAAACTATAATGCTATAAGAAACCGAAAAGATTAATTCATTGTTTACCTGGGTCTTCAGTCTATGATTAGCTCACCTCCGACTGGATTCATCTGAAAGAAGAAAGTCATATACACCTAGGATGACTTGAGGGTGAGTAATTTATGGGCTA